GTTGGTAATTTGATACAGCGTTGTTACCTAAAGTGCTCACTACGTGTTTGACAAAATTCCCCAAAGCTTATTTATTATACGGATACTAGAATTTTGATGTATATACTACATTTTATAAGAAGCTGCACGCGAAGTGAAGGATAGTTTGCTAGTTATGACCCTAAGTTCTTGCTGATTGAACATTCTACATATTATACTAGCATGCTCAATCATGTTACCGACGATATTTTACATATTTACACGTGCATACATTGTTAGTGCGCACGCGCACGAGATGCGGACTGCTGGGATTGAAATCTTTGAGAAATTGTGAAACTAGCAGTTGATGCTTGTGACTACATGCCCCATGAATCACACGTTCCAAACCACAAGTTGATCCTCCTGTTTTTGCTGTTGAGCAAAGTGGCCTTCATGCATGCGAGATTCCTAAACTACTCCTATCGTTCAAATTTAAAAAGTTGTAGCCATCAGGTTAACATTAATTTTAGGTGTTGATTTGGTTGTTATGTTACTTAAAAAACCTGCTTGTGCCAGTTCTGTAGTATGTTAAGCCTGCCGTACGCTTATATTCCTCAGTAGTGACTAATGTTACTCTTGTGTCATATTGGCTTTTTTTAACAAATCATTATTTGTACTGTATTTTCTTAACAGTTCTGGAGGTCGGAATTAAACCGAACCTTCTTGATTTCTTTCATTTAGAGCTTATTTGAATGATGAGCGAACTCCCGCTTTTCATTTGATCATCGATCGACTGTGGAGCGTCTAGAATTAATGCATAGCTATCGTCACGGGCAAGATAGGGAATAAGCAAGACCATTGGGCAGAATGGCTGATTGGTGGGGGGAGGTGCTTAATTAGGGGCCGCAACCAGGCGATGGTGATCGAGAATGACGAGCTATATATCACAAGCAGCAATGGCATTTTGCGTGCGTGGTTAATTAATACGAGAAGATAGATAGAAACTATGTCGTTTTCGAAGGAGAGGTGAAAGAAGCAAACATGATTGTCAATGAGGCGTGGAATATGGCGCTGGAAAGAATTACCTTGTTTAGGGTTGAGGCCAGGAGGAGGATAGGCGACGTTCAGTCTTCTTCGATGGGTAGCGGCCGAAGTTGGTTATACGGTTTAAAGCATATTTTGATGGTTATTTTGATCCTATTATAGGAGTATACTGCTACGGGGACCCAAAATATGGGACCAAGGGAGGGGACAGGTGAGGTGTCCCCTCCCTATTGCATAACCAAAATATGGGACCAAGGGAGGGGACAGGTGAGGTGTCCCCTCCCTATTGCATAATGAGTTGGCCATGACAACTCATTATGCAATAGGGAGTGGACACCTCACCTGTCCCCTTCATTGGTCCCATATTTTGGGTCCTTAAATCATTTTCCTATCAGATATTGGGAAGGAGGACTTTTGAATGCTAAGGCAATTATTATTTGTGCTCGATCGGCTCTCGAGGCAGAAGGTAGAGCAACTTAGGAGGCTACTAAGGGTATCTCCAACAATGTCTCATTTCCCGCGTCATTTTGGTGCAACAAGACTATTCTTTCTCCAACCATGTCCCATTCCCCGCGCTATTTTGGTGAAAAGGAACAGTGCGACACCAAATATGGCGTCACACTGTTCATTGCGCTATTACTGTTCATCACGATATTTTTTACCGTATTTTATTTTATGTTGTGTTCTTAAATTTAATATTTTGGCAATATTAATAATAAAAATATAATATTTTAGCAATCAAGTTATTTTAATTAATAAATTAATATTTTATTATTTTATTAGTTTAATTTTTTAAATAATAAATCATTTTGTTTGAAAAATATGTGAAAAAAATAAATTATGATATGTGGGGTTAATTGTTGAAATAGTTAAAAATATAGGGAATAAAAAATAATAATATAAAAGTAGATAAAAAAGAATATACTGAGAATATTTTTTTTTGGTGCAAAAAATGGTGCAGTAGGTTGGAGATGAATTACTGTTTGATGTAACTTTTGCACCATTTTAGTGCAAAATTTGTACCATTTTGGTACGATGGGTTGGAGATGGCCTAAAGTAGCAAAACTCTTATATATTCCAAGCACATCTGTATGCCTTGAGGGTGATGCAAAGGAGATTATAAAAAGTTTGCTAGGAGATGATATGAGAGGTTGTTACGTGCTCATTGAGAATACTAGCGAACTTTCTTTTTTTCGTTCACTAAAGTGGAAGCGATTCCTCCTATACGAGAAGATAATAAAAGGGTTAAGGAAGAAAGGTTAAAAAGAATGGTTAATGTACTTAGCCCATTTGATAATCTGAGGAAGGACTAAATTATTAACCCGTTAAATAAGTTTTATTTTAGTCATTGTGACCAGTTTTAGTGTTTGAGAATAATAATGATTTTGACTATTTTCTTTATAATTAGATGGGTTAACTCTTAATCATTCTAAATAGGAGTATTAGTAAACCCCTCATTTTGAGGGGTTAACTCATTTTAATCCCTCTAGAGGGGTTAGCTTAACCCTTCTATATTTTTTATGTTTGGCAAATTATGGAGGGTTAACCCACTTTAATCCTTGTATAGATTTTTTTTATTTGGCGAGTTAAGAAGATGTTAAGTCTCCTTAATAGGGGTGCACTCAGTCCGGATACGGCTTGGATATGATGCTTATCATATCCATATTCGCTTACCCGTCTCGGATACAGATACAAATACGTATATACCTCGGTAAGAAAAATTCATTACCATATCCGCTAAAATCGGATATGGTTATGGATATACATGCGAATACATGAGCGGATATGCATGCAGATACAAAACGGATATGAGAAAACTAGATAGTATGGAGAAAAACATAGTTCATGTGATACAAAAGAGTTCGTTAATATGTTCATTATAATTGAAAAGTTAAGAATATACATTCTGATCATCAAAATTAATCACAAATCCGTAATCTAAGAATTGAAACTATTGTAAGAGTATGACTAATATGTATTCAGATATTTCGGATACGGATACAGATATTTCATTACAAAAACATATCCGTAACCATATCCTATCGGTTATAGATTTGAATAACCATATTCGTATCCTAACGGATATGGTTATAGATATTTCCTCAGATATGGATATGTTTTAGCACCCCTACTCCTTAACCCCTCACTTAACCCTTTGCCAAACGACACCAAAACGTTTAAGAAAGTTTCTTCAAAATCGTGAAATTTACCTAATTGATCATAGGAAATAATAAGTATGAGGTAACGACTCATTTTGCTAAATGAGCTATCAAAAGATAACCATGTGAGTAGACCTACCTTTATTGTCACATCAAAAAGTATGAAGCTCATCACTTCCATCTCTTGATAGCTAAATGAGTCGCCACCTAATAACCATCAATTCCTTAATAATAGTATCCTCAGTTGCCGCGGACCCTAAATATATCCTACCCGTTATCACCCCTGTTGTCCGATACGCGTCCGAAGAGAAACATGGGCCATCGGATCGTCACATCCCACGCTCCGAGTCAAAGGTATTTACCGCTTATTCCATGTAAATTTCTTCCCAAAAATTCTTAATTATTAAAGTTTTATCGCTTGGCTAGTTCACTCTTTCAATTTTGTTAATGTCATAGACGATGTGATTATCTCGTTGAGCTTGCACGTTGTTTATCCGTCGTTGGTAATTAAATAATTTGATACAGCGTTGTTACCTAAAGTGCTCACTACGTGTTTGACAAAATTCCCCAAAGCTTATTTATAATTTGATACAGCGTTGTTACCTAAAGTGCTCACTACGTGTTTGACAAAATTCCCCAAAGCTTATTTATTATACGGATACTAGAATTTTGATGTATATACTACATTTTATAAGAAGCTGCACGCGAAGTGAAGGATAGTTTGCTAGTTATGACCCTAAGTTCTTGCTGATTGAACATTCTACATATTATACTAGCATGCTCAATCATGTTACCGACGATATTTTACATATTTACACGTGCATACATTGTTAGTGCGCACGCGCACGAGATGCGGACTGCTGGGATTGAAATCTTTGAGAAATTGTGAAACTAGCAGTTGATGCTTGTGACTACATGCCCCATGAATCACACGTTCCAAACCACAAGTTGATCCTCCTGTTTTTGCTGTTGAGCAAAGTGGCCTTCATGCATGCGAGATTCCTAAACTACTCCTATCGTTCAAATTTAAAAAGTTGTAGTCATCAGGTTAACATTAATTTTAGGTGTTGATTTGGTTGTTATGTTACTTAAAAAACCTGCTTGTGCCAGTTCTGTAGTATGTTAAGCCTGCCGTACGCTTATATTCCTCAGTAGTGACTAATGTTACTCTTGTGTCATATTGGCTTTTTTTAACAAATCATTATTTGTACTGTATTTTCTTATGGAAGATGAAAAATATTTGCCTCCTTAAAGATGTCTTCTTTATTTCCCTATGAAGAAGCCTAATGGGTGATAACTTTCCTGGATGGCACTCGTTGTAAATAATTCAAATTTTCATGTTGTCTTTGTGAATTCTACTAGTATTCTGTAGTGGAAACTTCTGAGTAACCACTAGCATCAACTGCTAGTATTCTATAGTGTAAATAATTCAAGTTTTCATGTTGTCCTTCAGCTTGCTTGCCCTTTCAACACACAAAACTAAGATGAGAACTGGACACTGTGCCTCTTCCACAAATGCTAATAATGTGAAGCACCCTACTATTTGTTGCACCACTTTGCTCTTTGTTACCTTATTGACCATTTGGATAAATTGCACGAGAATCACGAAAAATCCAAAAAAATTTTCTTGCACTAAGTATATAAATTCTGTGTGTCCAAACTTATTCTAGACATGTTAGTGTACAGAAAGTAAACTCATTCTCTTGATAGCTTTGTCGGAGAGCATAAAGTTGTCTGCCAACCGACACAAGCTCAAGGATGTTAACAAGAAAAACTCATTCTTTTGATTACTCAAGGATGTTAACAAGAAAAACTCATTCTTTTGATTACTCAAGGATGTTAAGAAGAAAAACCATATAAAGCACACATATATTCACATACTGTTTAGTGGCATTACAAACTTCACGGCACAAAATACCAGAGGGAATGTTATGAGAAACGTGGTCTTTCTTTATCTTTGTACAGAAAAGGGCATAGACTCCCACAAGCACTTAGAAAAAAAATATCAGCACTCAATCACGCTTAACTTGTAATGATAGAAAAAAATCTTACTAAAGCATGGGCCATGATTATACCACATCAAGAACTGACCTTCATAAATGATACTCATTTTGCTGATAGTGTCTTTGAGTGGGAGGACTTACCTGTAATTGCCTTCTTTACTTTTGCAATTGAATGCTTGACCTTTGATCCCACACCTGATAATAGACCATGAGACTTTTTCTGTGCGGGCTTCAACTCTGCATCCCTATCTTCCACTTTTATTTCTGCATTATGATCATAATCCTCTGGATTATGTTCCTGTTCATCTTCCTTTCCATCTTTTTCGGCATCCGTTTTGTCTTCATCTACCTTGGTATCTGTTGTCTGTGCAGGGTAGTTTTCATCTGCGTTGACTGCAGAGCTTCCTTCCTTCAAACTCTTTTCAGCCATCTGCTCTGGTTGAGTAGAAGAGTCTGCTGCAAGATCTAATTGCTGAACTTCTAGTGACTCAGCTAGTTTCATTTCTTTGGTTGTGTCATTACCCACTTGCACTTGATTTTGATTTGTTGCTTCTTGTACCTTTTCAAAGTCTTCTACTTGTTTCCCTTCTGACTGCACTCCTGTGATTTCTCCAAGTACATGATCATTAATGGTGTAGGCCAAACCTGTTTCATCGAGACCAGTTTTCTCTGGTTTTTGTTCTTCCTCTTTCGTTTCACATGTCTCTTCATCTATATTGTTTTCTTCTACCTTGGAATTTGTTGTCTCCAGCTGCTCTTTATCTAAGCTGGCTTCCGAGTTGTCGTTCTTCAAACATGTTTCAGCCATCTTTAGAGAATGAATGCTAGATTCAGTTACACGATCAACTTCTTGATCATATTGGGATTCAGATAGTTTCAGCTTCTCCTCTGAACTATTCTTCAAAAATTGCTCTTGGTTTCCTACATCATGCTTTTCTTCACCACATTTTATTTTTTTAACCTCTGACGTAATTTCAAAAGCTTCTGCATTGTTATGCTCATTCTTGATTGATAGGCCATCAGATTCCACACATGCACCTTTAACCTTTTCTCTATCCTGCAAGCATCCCCTGCTGTCCTCACCAATTTCTTTCTGTAAACTATCCTTTTCCAAGACATTGTCCTGAACTGAAATATCAAAATCTTTGTCCTGAGTTTCATTGTGCTTTTGAATTTCCATTTCTGTTATGGTGTCTTTGAGAACAGTTCCTTGAATTTTCTCATCCTGCGCTGAATCAGGCTCTCTGCAGTCTTCACTATCCACAGAGGTTCCTTGGATGCTTTTCTCTACAGGTATCAATTTGTTGCTGCAATCTTCATCAATATAAATTGATTTTACAGGTGATATTGTCTTGATTTCTTCCTTTCCATCCTCAGTCATTGTCGTTATTGATGTTGACTCATCAACAGTACTTTGTAGACTTTTATCATGCTTAACAACTGTAGTTTCTGACTTCTCCTTCACATCATAGCTCTCTTCTGTTTGAACTGATTCTGGAATGCCTTGAAGCTTCTCGAAGCCTACTTTATCTTCAGACTTGCTTTGTTCTTTGATTAGCTGTACATCATTCTTCTTATCTCCATCATTATTCTTGTCCATTGCATCTTCATGTTGCCCATCATAATCTCCACCAACTTTTTCACCTCCTTCTTGTAATATATACTTCATCAGAAAATGTGATACAGGCAAGTTATCTTCAATTTCGAGACTGGCCTTTTCTGTTGGTTGTTCTGTTTCCATTATTACTTCTGGTTGATTCACTTGTGGCTCTTGCATTACAGATTGTTCACTTACTTCTTTGGGTTCCAGGTCTGAAACTTCTTTTATCTCTTGTCTTTCTTCTTTGCAAATGTCATCTAAACGTGAAGTCTCAGCGACATAGAAGTCTTCACCTTTCACATATGTATCACAAGCAGCTCTTGAATCAGCAGAACTGAATGTAAGCTGCTCAACTACGTTTGGCTTTTCTACACCGCTTGTCATTTCCTTTGAAAACTCTGCTTCTGTTCCAGTGACACCTGAAGCCTCCTTCTCATATTCTCCGGGCTGATGATCAGATATCTCGCTGAACTTCTCACCTACTTCCTGTTTCGCTTCCTCAGCTAGTGATGCAATAGAGGATGAAGTGTCAAGATTCTCTGCTGAATCCTTCACTATGATGATTTGTTTTGAATCATACTCTTTAACCTGCTGATAGAAAACATGAAATATTAACTTGGATTAGCGCTATAAACACGAAAATGAAAATGTCAGAGTATACAAAATAATCACCAAGGAGATTGAGGTTGTAGTTTATGCATTTTGATCTGACCTCATCATCTGAAACTGTATCAACTGTCACTTCATTGTTTTTCTTGTCTTTAGACTCTTCCTCCAGAATCTGTTCATGGGCGGCTTCAACTGCATCCTCTTCAGGTATGATATCCTTCTGAATACTCGCTATTCCATTAGTGATTTCTTGGCTCCCAAGCATTGCATTCGAGGACACTTCATGCTGCATGAGTTCTTCTTTATCTTTCTGCAACTTTATGTTTAATGGTTCACTTCTGTCTGCTATTTCCTCATCATGTGCTGCAATGCTGTCACTTTGCTCAGGATTTCCATTGGTTTCAAGGTCCATACTCTCGTTTTGTTGATGAGGTACTTCTCCTTCCGCATCTGTGCTTTCTTGTGCCAGTTCTTGCATAACAGGCAACTCACCGACCACCTTGTAGTGGTTTCCTTCATTATGTTCATCGACTTTAGCATAATTCTCAGTCGGACCCTTCATGTTTAGGTCCGCATTTCGAAAATTAAGTCAGCAAAAGCTTTGACACTAAGCAAACTAAATTTAATTCAAGAAAAATAAACTTAATTCAATCCATATGATGTAAAAACAAGGAAAGATAACTCTCTTACCCCTTCACTAGGTTTTTGTCCCTCAGCAGTGTGAGTTAGCTTGTTACTTAGGCTTCCCAATTCTAATTCATTTGCTGATGCCACACGCTTCATGTCTCCATCTTCCACGAAGTTCTCTTTATTGACAATAGTTTGTATATTGGTTTCATTTTCATGAATATCTTCAGCTACAGTTGTTGCTTCAAGATTCTCAATGATGACATGAGAGGAATTTTCTGACTCTGGAGCCTTCAACTTTTCTTCATTTGAGCCATTTTGTGTAGTTTCCTCATCTTTAAATTTTGCATTCTCATTGGCCTCGCTTGCATCACTTAATTCATGGGATTTCTGCTCTGTTTGTATTTTATTTTGATTTTCTTGGGCCTTATCTTCCACTTCCACTTTCGGTAAGCTTGTCTGGTTTTTTCGTTCTTCTTTGCTTGCATGATTCGTAACAGCCTTAGAATTTGTAACCTGTTTAACATAAAAAAATTCACTTTCCTCAGGAGCTACTGCAGAGGTATCTTGCATGTCCTTGTCAAGTGAAATCTTGTTAGCATATAAGGTATCACCCATTGTTTCTGTATCTATTTGAGATATGGACTTAGAATCTATAACCTGTTTAACATACAAAATATCACTTTCCTGTTAACAAATAAAATCATGAAGAAAAAGGCTGAAAGCAAAAGAAGAAGGAAAACGGTCTTTACCTCTTCATCAGTCCCATTAATGGCTTCCTCTTTCTCTGTTGATTTTTGTGATAAATGTTCAACTTCAGCTGCTTTAGGTTCATGGAAGCCGGTGTTGGATGATTCTGCTGGGCATGCATCGAAAGCTTCCTCATTCTTTAGACCATGTTCTCCTTGGTTCTTTTTCTGTTCAGTGATTTCTGCTACAACTTCAGAGGTCAGTCCATCAGGTTCTTGTACACCAACCTCTTGTACCATCAAGCTTGATCTGGGTATTTCTCCATGCTGCGACTTTATGTTTAATGGTTCTTGTATTGTGTTTGAGGACTCTTCATGCTGCATGAGTAGTTCCCCATCTTTCTGCAACTTTATGTTTAATGGTTCACTTCTCTTTACTATTTCCTTATCGTGTGCAGCAACAGTGTCACTTTGCTCAGGGTTTCCATTGGTCTCAAGGTCCACACTCTCCTTTTGCTGGTGAGCTCCTTCTCCTTCCACATCTGTGCGTTCTTGTGCCAGCTCATGCGTAACAGGCAACTCACCAACCAGCTTGCAATGGTTTCCTTCATTATGTTCATCGGCTTTAGCAAAATCATCAGTCGGACCCTTCATGTTCAAGGTCAGCATTTCAAAAACTAAGTCAGCAAAAGCTTTGACACTAAGGAAACTAAATTTAATTCAAGAAAAATAAACTCAATTCGATCCATAAGAAAGGAAAAATAACTCTCTTACCTCTTCACTAGGAATTTGCCTCTTAGCAGCTTGAGTTAGCTTGCTACTTAGGCTTCCCAATTCTAATTCATTTGCTGATTCCACGAGCTTCATGTCTTCATCTTCCCTGAACTTCTCTTCATTGTTAATTTCCATAATTTGTATATAGGTTTCATTTTCATGAATATCTTCAGCTACAATTGTTGCTTCAAGATTCTCAAGGATGATATGAGGGGATTTTTCTGACCCTGGAGCCTCCAACTTTTCTTCGTTTGAGTCATATTGTGTACTTTCCTCATCTTTAAATTCTGCATTCTTCTTGGCCTCACGTGCATCACTTAATTCATGGGATTTCTGCTCTGTCTGTATTTCATTTTGATTTTCTTGTACCTTATCTTCCACTTCCTCTTTCGGTAAGCTTGTCTGGTTTTTTTGTTCTTCGCTTGCATGATTGGTAACAGCGCTTATGCTGTTATCTTCTGGCAAAATGTGTATTCTCTCCTCAGGAACTACTACAGAGGCATCTTGCATTTCCTTGTCAAGTGAAATCTTCTTAGCATATAAGGTATCACCCATTGTTTCTGTATCTATTTGAGATATGGACTTAGCATCTGTAACCTGTTTAACATATAAATTTTCACTTTCCTGTTAACAAATAAAAACCATGAAGGAAAAGGCCAGGAAAGCAAAACAAGAGGGAAACAAAGACTCTTTACCTCTTCAGTGGTGCCATCAATGGCTTCCTCTTTCTCTGTTGGTTGTTGTGATAAATATTCGACTTCAGCTGCTTTACGTTCGTTGAAGCCGGTGTTGGATGATTCTGCTGGGCATGCATCGAAAGCTTCCTCTTTCTTTGGACCGTATTCTCCTTCATTCTTTTTCCGGTCATTGATTTCTGCTGCAGCTTCATTGGCCAATTCATCAGGTTCTTTTAGTTCACCAACCTCCTGTACCATCAAGTTTGATCTGGATACTTCTCCATCTTGTTCTTCGCATGATGAATCATCAGCTTTTTCATGTTCAGTTTCTACTTGTTCACTTTCTTCATCTAGTGCAGGAATATCAAATATATTATGATTGCTGATGGTTATGATTCCCTTGTCCTTTTCTTCTCCATCTTCACATTTATGTTCCTGATTGACAGTATGCTCATTCAGTATTGAGGCATTAAAGTGAAGGGGGGAAATGAAGCTTCTCTCCAATGATTGCAGTAAAGAAAGCATAATACATGTTTTTACGTAATGGAACTTGAACCGACCAATGGAAAAATATTGAAATATAATATAGATACATATGTTGTTGTGTATATGTTTGGAAACAATTTCTTTAGTAAAATTATGGTTCTTTTTTCATTTAGCTTTTGTAGGTTCTCTCTCATTGATACCTGCAACATGTTTTACTAATGGAACCTGAACCAACAAATGAAAAAAATATTGAATTATATAATAGTAATTTGTTGTGTTTCCTTTTCCAGTTAACTTTATGAGGTTTTCTCTTATTCGTTGCTTGCAACATGTTTAAAGGATAAAAAGCTAATGTAATTTTCAACTGGAAGCCTTCAAATTTGTAGGGTTCAGATCTCTCTAAACTTGCCAAGGCACTAGAAATAGGATCTTATACTTATATCTTCAAATGGGAAGATGGATGGATTCATTATGTTCGAGAAGGAAGAAGCACAGGTAATGCTTAGCATGTCCCTAAACTTTGAAAGAAGCTGCATCCGACAAAAAACATCTCTTTTCAAGGCCTCAGTGAGGTGAAATTTTTTCTTAGGCTCATATTGAGAAATGCAAAATTTAGCTTGGGATTCATTTGATTAGGAAGAAGTTGCTGCCTGTATCATTGTTTTGGACTGAAATGCAAAGTCCTCAGGGGGAGGATGAAACACCCTCTCTACCAAATTAGCAAGTGATATATCCTCTTTTAATGTCGCAGCTCATGTTTGTATAGATCCACTACAATCCTAGACACTGTTTCAACTATGATTTTGTCACTCTGATTAATTGTCTAATTAATCTCTGTAGAAGTAAAATTAAAAATGTAAGGAGCACGAGAGAACAAATTAAAATTTTACGGTCTGAATCAACCTCTTCACTCGGAATCCCCTCTGTTGTCCTGTAGTTTTCTTTAGTTGTTTGATCTGTCTCATCTGCTTGTAAGTTTCTATATGCTGGTGAATCAGGTGCTGTTGCATTGACAGATAAGTCATCAAGAACATTGCTCGTCTTCTCATCATTTTCGTTCTTAATGCTTTTCTCTATGCTTAAGTTGGTACTCTGCATAGCAAATGCTTCTCTTTAGTGATATAACACAGTTTCTTTGGTTATGCAGTTTCCCTAACACACACATTTTGCTAGTGATTTTTAAGTTCACAGCACCAGCTATCAAGGGAATATCATGATATGCATAGTTAGCTACGCCAATTCAGCTTAAAGAAAAGAATATTGCCTGACCTCTTTGCATTCATCCTTTTCCTCATAAGCTTGATATTCGTATGCATCAACCTTCATGACCTGATCAACACGTCCTGATATTTCGGCCTCAATAGTTTCAGTCTCTATCAAAGGTTCTGACTCCTGTCTGACAGCTGTTGTGCCAGATACTTTATCCTGAGGGATAATTTTTTTTACCGATTTAAATTTTGATTAATACATAATCTACATGAAAGAAACATCTACTTGTGGTTATGTTAATTAAGTATTTGAACCAACCTCTTCAGTTACAATTCCATTCTTAGTGTTGTCATCTCCATCAGATGCTTCCTTGAACTTCTGCTTCTCTTCATAGCCAAGAACTTCTGAGTTGGCATTGGTTGTTTCATCATTCTTCTCTTCTATTTGGTTTTCACTAATAACTTCAGCAGAGTTCATATTCTCTGTGCTTAAAGATTTTTCAACGATATTGTCTGCAGCTTCCTCTTTCTTAGGTACATCCTTTTCTCTAATATCAAACATGTTGGTAGGTTCTTGTTTATGATCTAATTCACAATTGTCTCCTACCATAGTTTCTTCTGTGTTTGATTCTGATGTTGCATCACTGGAATCTTCTACTCTTACGGCTGAACTATTTGTATCTTTATCTGGGTCCAGTGCCTTCTCTACCTCAGTGCTTTCTGCTTCACATTCAATGCCTTGTCGCTGGTCGTCAGGTTTTAGTTCCGAGTTGGTATCTAGGTGTTCCTTTTCCTGTTGCACCACAACTTTGTTGTCTTCACTGCTAGTTATTTGATGAACATCTTCACGCCTCTCACTAACTCTGCCATATCCTATGTCAGCAACCAATGCAGAAGCATCAGAACCATCCCCACTTTCCTTCTCCATGACATCCTCATCCTTTGCCTTCGCAGTTTCAGGATGATCATAATGACCAAGAGTATCAGGAATCTGTTCCATTAATGAGAGAGAAAAGTTTATATTAATAATATTTTGAGGAATAATATACAAAAAGAAGAAGGAAAAAAAACATGTTAAAGTGAGTTAATCTCATATGGTCCTACCATATAGGCTAAAGTAGAATGAAACAGAGGAGCACTAACCAATTTGTCAATATAACCAGTATGAGCTGAGTTGTCTGTAAATTTCGGTTCGGTAACTTTCCCTTGATTATGGTTCTTTGGAGATTCTGTAACGTCTTTGAGTTCCTCAGTATTAGCACTTTCTTTATAGATAGTATTGCCTTGGTCATTGAAAGCTTGGTCCATCTGTTCTCCAAACTCAGCTTTAGAGTCATCACATTCATCAATCTGTTCAGGTGTTTTTAGCACAACGGTATGGCCATCAGAACAACCATCTTCAATTTTGTTCAGAATTGCTTCATCATTCTTCATTGCATTTTCGGCATCTTCTTTCATATCAGAAAATCCAGGCATCTGTTTCAAAAGAGACGCAATGTAAACGTAAAATAGGGGGAAATAGATGTAAGGTGAATTTATGGTTAGCAAAAAATAATAATTAAAAATACAATAAAAAAAATAAATAAAAAATAAAAAAAGCAAATAGCTATATCAATCATTATGATGCTTTCTGATTTTATTATTGAGATAATTGTCCTTGGAGTCATGTAAAGAACCAACCACTATTTTTGAATTGTCATCATTTGTTGAATCATCGATCTTTATGTCATCAGATTCATCTGTAGCTTTTTGACATTTGTTTTCTGGTGATTCTGGGATAATGTTGAACTGCTCAGTTTCTTTCTTCTTTCCGGAAACATCAACTTCTATTTTATCCTTGGTACATGTGGTGTGATTAATCCTATCTTCCCTGGAAGAAGTGGAGTCTTCTCCATTCTCATGACCGTGTTCACCATGTATTTTTTCTTCAACTGATATGTAATTGTTAGGTTCTTCAATATCCTTGTTTTGAATAACCTCATTCTCAGCATTTCCTTTGCTGTCATTTGTCCCAGCTATTTCAGGTGTCTGTTTCAAAGACTACGAATTGGTAAGGGCTTTTATTAAAAAAGAAAATTTGAGAAGTAATACATGCAGTTAACTGATATGCTCATGGATAACTAACATATTTGAGGTTTAAAAAATAAAACTAAGTTAAGAAATAACCATGTCTTTGAGAACACAATCAACTGGTAAATTATCATTCTGTGAGAATTCCTCTTGCTTGATGAATTCTTGATTCTTGTCTTCAGGAACTGAGTTTGATACAAATTCAAGGGTCTGAGACAGCTCACTGCCATCAACTTCTTTACCAGTGCTAGTATTGATGGTTGCTTGGGTCTGCTCATCGCATGCTGATTTGGGAATTTCTTCAGTTACTTCATTTTTTTCAGTCAATTCATCATGTATATACTGCAAAATGAATAAATGGTGTCAGGTCAGTCCCAATTTTCATTTAAGTTTACATCTCTTTTCCTTTTTCAGTTGTCCTATGCACTAGTTTGTCAGTTTTAAGAATATTTATGAATGTCATTATTAGCAAGAGGTTCATCTTGGGTATTAGCAAGAGGTTCATCTTAGGGGCATTGTTTAAAAATTTCTGGTCAGAATACTAGATTGTATAACAGAGAAACAAATTGCTTGCAATTTCTTGCTTCTTTCAGTTTATGTCTCAATGATATGTCACCTTTATAACCTTAAGCTTAGGGTAATGCTTCTTGAAACTCTTCACAGAAATGTCCAGGTTGGAGGATGGCTTGGTGCGTTTGGAGCCTCATTTTTCATCTCAAAAGAGATACAACTTACCTGTTGTATCTGGTGCTTGACCTAAAGGAGTAAAGGACATGGCTAAAAGACAAGATACCTGAACCATCTATAGGTTGATCAATCTCTATGAGTTTGTCCTATATGATTAATAAACAAAGGAAATTATAACAAAATGTGAGCAGCAAAAATAATGTTGAGTTTTATATACATGGATTGGGGCAAATCTATCATATCATCCAGTATTGTCTTCGTAAAGTTTATCTTAAAGTTGAAGCTTCTGATTGTAAACCCCAAATTTGACTTTTAAATCAAAAGAACTACATTGTGAAAACATACAAAGTAAATCTTAGGCAATATATATTCATTTAATTTGAGTGAAAAAACATGTGACATGTTCCTGTATGGACTTAACTTACTTCATATAGCCTGCCTAAAGGAATTCAACAAGAGCCTCATGTTTATGCGTGGGAGAAGCATGCTTCAAATGAGCCATCATGAGACACAGCACAACAAACAGTAGAGAAAATGTAACATATGATTCTATATGGTATGAGAATCAGGAAGTAAGGAGTTGGCTTGAGAAGGAGAGTTCTTAGACCCTGATTAGCAATTGTAAACAAAATGGGGATGGAGCGTTAACAAGGATTCATGTTTCTGAGGGCCTAACCATGTGTCTTTTTGCACTATGGGCTTCTGTAGTTACTTTGGTAGAATGATTTAATGTGTACATTGATGGGTTTTATCAGTTGAAAGTTGTTCTATGAGAAGGCACATCGCGACCTATTTTACTGGGTTAAGATCACACGATACATGGACCTGGTTAATTTAGTTCTTGACTAATAAGCATTTTGTCAACAGATAGATTGAATAAGATTAAGGAGAGGAACCTGGATAGGAGTTAGTAAGGCATGTCATTGTGGTAGGGAGGATAAAATTTCAAGTCATTCCCCGAGCAAAAACAATGAGCATTTCCCCCCTCTATATTTAGGAGAGGGGTGGCAAACGCCACCTTATATCCATTCACTAAAAAATGAACACCTATTTAACTGGCGCTTCTTACAGGTTAAGAAGGAATGATTGTGATGAAATGTTAAATTGCGTTATCTAGCCCAATAAAAGATATAAGAGAGTGGTTAACTTAGCCCATTAATTCATTATAAGAAAAACTAATGAAATCTTGTGTACATTTGAATGTTTGGATTAGTAAGGGTTTATCAAAAAAAATTTCAAAGGAAAGGATTATCTATTACCAATCCAAAGAGACGTATTCAGACAACCAATCATAACTTTTCTTAGCTCTTCTATATGGCTTATGTAACCTTGTCAAACTGTTGTGAGCGAATGTTTGTTCAGTAGTAGTGAAATCCTAATAATTATTCCTCCTCTCAATTGTTGTTCCTTTTTGTGGTTCTACAATAAACTTCCGTTCTCTTCCTCAAAATAATAGAATATGGATGAAATACAGGATATAAATACCATTACCTCAGTGATTAAGCTCTCCGGTTTAGAACTTAAGTCTCCACTGGCCATTCTAGACGTTGTTTGATTCTGGATGATATCTACTTCTCTGCTCTTGCCAAAACACTCTTCATGCTTTTCAGAAGGATCCTCTCTCTCAAAATCTTCAGTGTAAGTACTTCCTCCAGCTACTATGTTCTTCTCTAATATCACTTTAGATGGTTCTTCAAGCTTGTCTTCCCAATTTTCTTTTTGCAGGTCACTTTCTACAGTTCCATCAGCTGCATTTTCTTCTTTTCTGTTTTTTCATCTACATCCTTTTCAATGATAGATTCATCGTGTGCTACTATATTTCTCTCAGAGCTTTCATTCTCATTGGCTGCTGGAGAAATTTGCTCTTTGGCTTCTTGTCCATCAGTTGTTGCTCCTATATTACATTTTTGTGTATCACATGAAGTGGATAAGCCGTCAATTGCTTTGTCCATGCTTTGACCTTCAAGGATAGTGCTAATATCGGTGCCCGCAGCTTCTGAATTAAAAATTACATCATGAATATTTTCTTGAGAGTTTGTCTGAGAAGTGCTCTCAGAATCGAGGGCTGTCTCTTTTTTAATCACATTTACGTCGTTATCAATGCTTTCACTCAATTCTTTACTGATAGAATTTGTGGCATCCTTATCAACTTCAGCTCCTTCATGTACTGTGTCTTCAATTACTTGATTTTCACTTGACCTTTCTTTCTTCTCGTTTACTGCTTCAGTGTAATTCCTGTATTCATCTATTGTTGTATCCTGTCCCAATAAAGTAGATATATAAGTTCTGTTCATGTAATCTCTTTGCAAAATTACATATTTTTTGATTACTAGACAAAGTTTGCAAATAATACAGTGGAATCATTTTTATTTGTTGGGGAAATTCAAATAGAAGGATATTGTGGGCTGATCTAAACAGTATGCTAAGTTTTTAAAAAATACATACTGGGATCTCAGTTTGTGCTTAAGGGTCAGATAAATAGGGTCTAAAGTATTGGAGAACCTTAATGAAAATTTTGATTTAAAATGTTCACATGATTTTGCATAGATGGAAAACTAAACACTTGATATGGTATCTAACAACCAAGCATCATATTGAATTTAAAACATGTTGAAGTTCTTTTCATCATTTTGAAAATGAAGTTAATTGCTTTTAACGAAGAAAATGTTGGAGTTCTAAGTCGAGTGGTTTATAATGCAACCATGCCAATGCAAATGAGATTACAAGGATAGGGCAAGATCTCACCGTGTTTCTGTCATTTTGATCTAGTTCTTCACAGGCAGAATTATTGGTACCCTCATTCTTGTAACTTTCTTCATGGATGGTTTCTTTAATCACCTCGTTTGTACTGGTGTTCTCACTTGCACCTTCAGTCTCCTTGATCAGATTACTTATTTCCGCATTCTGCATGTCAAAGCACATCAACGAGATGTATATATATTGCTCTGTTATGCAACATAATCAAATGCTCAACAATAACACATAAATTTTTAAAGAGTGGAAGAACTTCTAGGTATGGAAGTTGGCCCTAGAAAGATGGATGGTTGATTGAGGGGTTGAAGGACTCGATGACAATTACTAGTTAAAGTTAACATGCTTCCATCAATAGATGATTATTTCAGAAATAAGAAGATGAAGTCCGGATGTCAATCACTACTTAAAATTAACGATAAGAGTATGTAACACTTGATAGGTACTGATTGTGCTTTTACATACAAAAAGGTGAAATGAAGATGGAGAACTGATGACATGGTGACAATGCGCTACAAAAGAAGCATAATTTATGTAACTTCAGTAGAAAGCCATCGTGAGAGAGTGTAAAGGTAGTAGAGAGCACAGGATGTGTATGATTATTTATAAATGAGATATATATTGATTGATTATATTTTTGGGTTTAGATATACTAAAATTATAAACTATATGTTGAAGATTGTAAGAATATACAACGTAACATGTAGGTATCATAATCCTCTTACCTGAGGTTCAGGCATCATAACTGATGCCTTTTCAATTGGCTCATATTTCTTTTCATCCTTCGGGGAGAATTCTTCTAAATTCACGAATGATTCCTCTTTCCTTGTGGTTTCTGTTTCATGTGCTGGTGCATCTTCGGTTGCTCCAAAATCCTCTTTAGCTATTATCTGAAGAGGTTCTTGTTTGTTTTCATTTTCAGAAGGTCCTGCCTCCGATACACTCTCAGCATCATCAATTCTCTCTATATCAGCATTTCCAGTCTTAGCCTCTATTATGACATTCTTATGTTCATTAACACTTTCAAGCTTCTTTTCTTCTGGCTCCTCAGGAACTACATCAAGAGAGCTTTCAAGTTTGTTTTGTTCTGATACATCTAACTCAAGAGGTTCTTGTCTGCTTTCCTTTTGAGATGGTTTTCCCACTGGTATTCTGTCAGCATCATCAGATCTCTCGTCATCGCAAAATCCAGTTTCAGCCTCTCTTTTGCCAATCTCATCTTCATTTACTCTTTCAAGGTTTTTCTCCTTTGGATCCTCAGGAACAGCATCAAGGGAGCTTTCAAGTTTTCCATTTCCCACTTCATCTTCTGCTGGTTCAAGGTCCTTATTAGGTGTTATCTCAAGAGATTCTTGTCTATTTTCATTGTCTGAAGCTTCTAGAACTGATATACCATCAGCATTCTTAGCTATCTCATTATTACAAATTCCAGTCTCGTCTATTTTGACATTATTATCTTCAGTTACTCGTTCAAGCTTCCTCGCTTCCATTTCCTCAGGAACTGCATCAAGGGCCTGTTCGTATTTTGCAGGTTCAAGGTTCCCTTTACTCATTTCATCCAGGGGTTCTTGTGTGTTTCCCTTTTCTGAAGGTTCCACCGCTTTATCTTCGTTTCTTCTTTCAAGCCTATTTGTTTCTGGCTCCTCAGGAGCTTCATTGGCAGGGCTTTCAATTTTGTCACTTTGTGGTTCATTTGCCGCAGGTTCAAGATCTGAAATCATTATCTCAGGAGGGTCCTTCACAATTTCCAATTCTGAAGGTCCTGCATCTGATATACTATCAATTTCATCGGTGCTTTTATCATTCAAGATTCCAGCTTCAGCTTGCACTTTGATTTGTTTATCCTCGTTCGCTTTCTCAAGCTTCTTAATATCCGTTTCTCCCTGAAGTTCATCTTCCATGCTCTCAGCTTGAGCTGTACTAAGTTTTTCATTCATCACTGCAGTATTATTTCTATTGCTTGTTAAATGCTGAATGTCTATAGGTGATTCAACTAAAACTTCACCCTTGGAGCTATTCAACAACCGTACTGCTATTGGATGTAGGGTTTCATCCTTAGCAATCTCATGGGAGATACTGCTACCATTCATTGCTATGGCATCTCCATCAAATGGAATATGTACAGTATCTTGCAAGCTCTGAGAAAAAAGAAAGAAAATCATTCAAGTCATTAGCAACGAACACGCTTAGAACAAGGAACATCGGATTCATTAGGTACAACTGGTTATTAGCCAAAATGCAAAGGTTCAAGGAGATTGTTAATCTAATAGTAGAATTTTTTGGCTGAAAGCTACCATAGAAGCGAATAGATGCGTAAGGATACAGAAGTAAGTTCCTCGTGATCAATAATTACAAAGCGAAATATTTTAATACTGCTAATCTTATGCCTTTTACTTATTTTATAGAAAAATCTTATGCCTCTTATAAACTATTCTGTTCTGGAAGACGAAGAAACATCTCTTCACTAATTATTTGCATAAGTATATTTACAAATATCTAAAATTTCAGCTTAGCTGTTTTGAGCTCAAAATTATGATACTATATGATAGTAGATATTTTGAATTTTTTAGTCGGTATCTTGACCCCTAAACTACAATGCACCCTGTATTTTTTGTGGCCTTTGTGATGTTTATATCTGAACATAAAATTCTTTTTCCTACCTCATCGATGCATGTATTTAATCATTAGCCTTCAAATAAGCGGTCTTCAGCTATCAATAAAAAATCTTGAACGGAGTTTGAACAGAGCAAATAATTTCTCTTGGATGAATTATACGTGTAATGTTGCACAAATCATGCATATTTTTCATTCATGTTTATTACCTAGTAACAATGATGTAATTAAATATTTTCTTTGGTGTTATAGATGCTTTGGAGGATTACGGAAATGAAATAGATGTCTTAGCCCTTAATAATGCTTAATTCCTAAAACTAAAAAACAAGACTTGATAGTTTTGAGAAACAGGACTTGATAGTAATTGCAGAAAACGTGTTCCTGTAAATGAGGGAAGAGAAATAGGATAGTCTATTCAGGTATAATTACAACAATATGACGCTAATATTAAGCTCAACAACGTTCATTATTGCATTCTGCACTCTTCTTTCATATCATGTGGAAAGTTTGATATCCATGAAGTTTATGACATCTAATAGCAGAGACAACAGCTGTATTCAAAGTTACAATTTTTCTTGAAGATACATGAGGTATTGTACTTTCTTGATGTTTACCTTTCGTTATGGCTCTAGAAATTACAGGTTATTAAATTTTATTGCTTCGTACAACCTATGGATTTAAGCTGCGTCATGATTGAGATTTATAAGAAACTCATATTGCAGCGTCCTGGATTACTTAAGTGTAGACCTTTTCATTCAAACATAGAAGTATATAACTTTTCTAGCTGATCTCCCAATATTTTGCGATATCTTATACTCTATGCAAGCAAAGAAATTTGCAGAAAGTTTAAGAAGTATAAGGAAATACAAGAAATTGATAATTTAGATCAATTTTTATGTCATACTACAAGTGAGATAAGTATGGATCCGATCAACATAGATAGACTAAATTCTTATACATAAAGTTGTGGAGAAGCTCTTCACGTTTGCATATTGAGATGAAAAATTACATGCATATATCATATTTATGCCGTGATCACTAGTTTATAGATGTATATAAAAATGAAGTGCAAAATGAAGTGGAGTTTAGTATTTGCTGACCTCTGAGCTGGGTTCCTTTGTTTCAGATTCAGTTGCCATTGCCTTCAGGCCTTTTCCAGATGAAGATGAAGGAGAGTTGGCTGCTTTTGAAAACAATTCATAATAATCTAGCTGTACAAGTAAGAATCTCTATATACCAAGCTTATCCTTTTTCGTCGTATTAATTTCTCGTCTATCATTAATATGTCATGATGAAGAGCTAACAGTGATGGATAAATAATGAATCTACATCTAAAGATATGGCTAGTTTTAAGCGTTTCAGTTAGGTGGACCTAATGATCCTTAGTTGGTGAATTACTGTATTTGAGAACTAATGCATGAGATGACAAAATGCCACCTGTTCAATATATGTTTATATTTGATTCTCGGCAGATCCAAGGTCCCTTTTCTAGGTCAGTATGCATTTTTCTAGTGGGCTCTCCAATGTTTTCCTTGATAATTAACAAGGGGTGGCATTATTTTCTCTATTATTGACATGGACATGCAAATTATTGATTTTCTTTTGTCAGAAGGTAATAAGTAATTAAAACATAATTATGTTAATTGTTCCTCCATTGTGCTTAAAAAGTTTGATTTGCACGATGACTTAGTAGTTTATCATATTACGTACATCTAGTCCTTCTCAGCATGACAATGAGAGGAGATGGGATTAGAATTTAGTTACCAATGATAAGAGTTCAAAATGTCTAAGAATACTTATCTTTTGCGTACAATTAGATAAGTAGAGCATCGCCACATGCAGCATCTAGCTGATGTCTAACTCGAAGCATGCTCGTTTAATATTCCTTGACACTATTTTGTAATATCGATCATCGATTGTTTAGACCTTAGTATTTTTTTCAGTTTATCTAATCTGATAACTTAGGAAAATATTGTCGGAAAAAAAAAATCCATCCATAAATCACAAAAATATATGTATGGGGATGAGCATAGGATTGCTCGATAATCACATTAGGTTCAGGGTTGAAACCACATTGTTAATAACTCAAAGTGGTTGTCTGATCTAAGATATCCTGTAAGCTGAAAAATCAATCATTGTTCCATGAATTGAATCTATTGTGAGATCTCAATCAAGAACAGTTATCAAGCTCTAATGACTGTGAACTGCGGAACAGTTGTTTTCAAATGCGCTGACCCATGCATCATCTTTCGATCCAATCTCCACAACTTGCGTCCGCGGACCGAACATCTATCAAAATTGGAATTTTCTTGGGTATTTTATCCATTGTTTTTTTTCCCGAGTATGAGCTCATTATGCATCAAGATTTTCCACAGTATGGTCATACCTTTCTTATCTGAAGATTGTGATTTTTCTCCTTATGCGTCAAAAGTCTAAACTTCAGTATTTCTTCCTCTATCAGTTTGTGGAATAATTTCACTCAAGGTAAACTTTATGAGATCATGACATGGACTAAAAGAGAGTACAGAGCTCTTGAATTAAAAAAAAAAAAAATTAAGACAGGTGATAAGATTTTCTTTTGTATGTATTTATTTGAGAAGGATGGGAATGTTTGTTATAGTCATTGAGTAGAAGGAACAAAATAGGAAAAGGAAGAATATATATAAACCAAAACAAGAAACTCTCCTTCTCAGACCGACCAACTAAAGCACTTTTGTCATCATGTCAATCTAACCATTGCTAAGAACATCAACTTGGCTATGATTGATACAATTGAGAAGGAAAGGGACCAAACTTTTCCATTAAAAAAAATATAACATTCATGCTTTTAGATTCTCTACATTGATGATTTGCTTCTTTTATTTTCTTATAGAATAATGTACTGCGTTTGAATGTCATTTTAAATGCAATCATTGTCTTGTAGGGACAATGCTTCTTTTCCTCTTACTTTCTTGATAATAATATGCTATTATTTCTTTAGGGATTTGGATCCTCTCCACTACTAAAAATAAAAAAAAAAGTGGAGAGATCACTACATAAATCGTAGTCATTAATTTGTAAAGCGAGTGGTTGTAATTCATTTCAAATTCAGCACCCATCATATTCTCATGAATTGTGTTATTTTTCTAATTCACGTTCAAAGACAAATCAAAACCACATATTAAACAAATTAACAGTTATGATACAATAGTGATCTCTGCATCCCTTTTAAGGTTATGATATTGTAGTGATATCTTATTTTAATAAATTTTTTGTTATAATGAAGAGGATCCGAATCTTTTCTTTAGTGCCATACGATGTCCGATTCATTGTTAAACCAGGGATTGGGTAAAGAAAGATGGCAGATTCAGCATAATGGCTTTGTACCCTTTCTGTCTTATTACTAGCGAATGGGAACAAAAAAGAGAGGTAGCATATGGATTTATATAAGGAATAAAGTCTAGCCTGTGGAGATCCATGTAGATGTGAGCTGGCTTTGGCTTTGTGGAAGGTGGGGTCCCATGTGACAAAGTTAGAATTATATAGTCCCAATTGCATGGGCCTCATGAGCCCTCATGGCCTACCTGGCTCATTGTCAGCAAACAATTTGATGGGCCCTCCAGTTGATGAGCTCTTCATCTTTCTCTATCTTGGTCCGAATTCTCTTTTCGATTACTCCATGGTTGTCTCACTCATGTCCTTACTGTAATTTGGATGCATCTCTTTGTGCCTGTTTGGGATTTGTGGGCTAAGTTGGCCAATGTTACGGGCTGTTACAACAAAGACTTGATCCATGGCAACGAACAAAATAATTTTCAGGATTAAAAAAAGAAAAGAAAAGAAGCCTTTTCATCTTGTGAGAGAATGCGCCCCCCCCCGCCCCGCCCCAAACCCAACCAAAAAGCTAAACGAATTCTTTTCATGTCTTTCTTACAGTCAAATTAGATTCAAGAAGTGTAGATTAAGTACGGAGTTTGATTCTTTAATAGCTGTGGCTAGCCAAAGAAAAAGTTTTTCTGAAACTGTAAGGGGGGTTATTGGTTGGGACAAATTGGGGCCAAGTGAGAAAATTATTCCAATGCAACAATTTTATCCCTTTGAGATATTTTGAGTGGTGTAAAGTGTGGTAAATAAGATAATGGGACAATTTGAGTTTTTGATTTGACAATTCATGTGAGATAATTAATGATGTGACACCTTATTAAAATATAATTTTATTTATTAGTTACTTCTAAATTAACTTATCCAATTGGTTTAGTATATTATTATAATATAAACATTATTTTACTTTAAATTAAAATATAATATTTGTACTATAATTACTAACTAATATTATTAATTATTATATTACATTACATTATATTATATTAGCATGCTATACTATATAATATTTAATATAATATAAGATCAATATATTTAATATAATATTTAATATAATATATTATCTTATTTATACAAAAATATAATATGTTATAATATAATTACTGATTAATATTATTAATTATTATATTATATTACATTATATTAGTATGCTACATTATATAATAATTGATATAATATATGAACAATATATTTAATATAATACTTTAATAATATATTATTTAATTTAATATATTATAATATAGTATCATAGGATATAATGTACTATATAAAATATTATAAAATTTTATTTTATTCAATATAATTTTTGTTTAAAATATTATATATATATATATATATATATATATAATATATTATATATTAGTATATATTATATATATATAAATATATATATATATACATGATAATTACAAATAATAATATATTACAAAGGTATCATGTTATAGTAATAATATATTATATTATTTAAAACTATAGTTATTATATTATATTATATCATAATATTTTATTAATAGTAGTAATTATTATATTATATTATAATATATGTCATGATATCATAATCAATGATATAATATTATAACAATGTATTTAATATATATATCTAATTTAATATATTAGAACCGAGTCGGTTAAAATTTACAGACTCATATAAATATTATTAATATTTTTTATTCATATAATATCATTTAAAATCCTATATTGTAATTAAAAATATAATATATCATATATAATATTATATGCTAATTACTATGATAATTATAAAATATCGTACAATATAATATATTATACGTATAGTAATATATATTTATTTATTAATATGATCATATCATATATAATCGCACATAACATGATTTATATTTATATTATATTTTATAATTAAATGTAATATACTAACAATATTTATTTAATTTTAATAGTTATATATCATTATACTATATTTATTTGATTTTTCTGTTAAATAATACCCTTATAATAATAATGCTAAATAAAATATCAACTACATTTAATATAATATATTATATAATTATATATGTTATTAAAATATTATATAATATTATAATAAATATGTTGTACTATTATTTAATATAGTATGTGATATTGCATAATAATATATAATAAATATCATAAAATATATTATACATATAAATTAAACTATAATAATATTTTATTTTATTATATGATAATATAATATAATATATTGAATATATTATTATTTTATATTTTATATATCACGTCATATATTTATAATATAATTAGCATGTATTAGTTAAGGTTTAAAAATTATCTCAATTGCCTTCAAAGTGGAACAAAATTGTTCCAATATGGAGGATGAGGTAAATTTTTACTATTGAGACAAAATTTTTGTATATGGGTGGGGTAATTATTATCCCAAGTGGTAAAATTATCTCACTAGTAGGGGTGTGCAACGGTCGGTTCGGTTCGGTTTTTACTAAAATTTGAATAACCGAACCGAACCGCTTATAATTCAAAACCGAACCGAACTATTACAAGTCGGTTCGGTGTGGTTCGGTTCGGTGTGTTCGGTTCTAACTTAATCAGACTTCTTATCAAACAACAAACTGTGTTAAAGGAAAAAAAGATATCAACAAAGTAGGAGATTATGAAGCATTAAACATTGATATAATAATATTGTTTTTAACCCATAATGATTCAGAAAATGAGTTTAGGGTTCGAGTCTTTGACTCTTTGGGGACGAGTCGGGTAGTATTGCACTATATTTGGTCGGTTCGGATCGGTTCGGGTTGAAAAGTTTTCAAACCGACCCGAACCGTCCTACTCATAAAACCGATTTTTTCGGATCTGTTCGGTCGGTTTTTTCGGTTTAGACCGAACCATGCTCAGTCCTACTCACTAGTGCTCCAAAAAACTAATAACACAAAAAGGTAATATTCTTGTTCCATTGACCAATGAATAACACTATGAAATAGAATTCTCAAAATTATCCCATTATCCCCCCAAATGTCCCAATGAATAAATTCTTACTTGCAGCTGGATTTATTGATTTCTTTGTTTGTTGCTTGTTTTTAGTTTCTTTTTCATATATTTTATGCTCTTCGGCGTTAACCTTGTATTTCCTGAGAGCGTTAGTTGTTGCCGGTTAGGCCCAACAGATTGGGGCCGTATATCCATCTCAGGCCAGAACAGGCCCATTAGGGGCTTAGATCTGTCAAATGGGTATGTAGAAGCCCATGAATGATTAACCACGATGATTATCGTTAACCATTATGGAAACATAATTCAATGTCTACGCGTGGCTCTCACAATACATCCTGGTGCATACCCAAACCTCTACTAAAATACAAGAGATACGCAATCCAACTCCACATTATACGTGAAGCCCTATACAGGACGACATCAAATCATAAGAGGAAGCAAATCAACATGATGTCAAAGATATTGTCCAAGCGACGATGTAGTCTCAGCCTCAGAAAAAGAATTTAGGTATCAAAGGATAGACCCAAAATTGTGTAGACTCCGGGATGTGCAGACGATAGCCTAGAAGGACCACGACAGTCGGCGGCGGACCGGCGGAGGCGTGGGTTTGCGCCCCTTTCCTCAGCATAATACGCATCCTGAGCTTAAAAATGAACGAGTTGGATACCAGCACGAATGCTCCAAAGAGAGCATATGCAACTCGACTTCAAGATTTTTAATGAAAACCACTAGTTACTTGCTCATAGCTGTTTTCAAGAATTTTTGGTAACAAACATGACTAGTTGTTTCCATGCTAGGGAACAAAGGTAAAACCTGTAATCTTTTAGATCTTGATAGACTTCTGTTTTGTTTTGTTTTTATTTACATAGACGCTGCATTGATTATAATTACGAACATAATTAATGATCGATAGTTTTGCTAAATTACTTTTCAAATTAAAAACTATTGTGTTAATTATGACCATACTGCTGAATTTGGGAACTCTTTCATATTTATAACGAATCATTTGATATAAAATATTTAGTGACAGCGGATGTGAAAGAAAAGTGGGACTTATGGTGGTGAACTTTGAATAATAATCACAAAGGTAAAGTTGATCATGTGCATCTGCATCGTGACCTGGAATCTATTAAATCTCCCTTGATCAAACTACAGATTAAATCAAATTGGCATTTGGTTCTTAAATTCTAATAACGTTTAGAAATGCAAGATTAATGTTGGTGCCAGTGGCGTCCCGTGACGCCTTCGAACCTCTAGGCTTCACGAGATTATTTCAATGTCCTTCAATATTACAGAAGAAAATAGCTTTTCGTATCTTTAATAAACTTTATGAAATTTTATTGACCCGAAGTTATCAACATCTCTTAAAAAACTTCCGAGAAAAGTGAAATTGTATCTACTCTAATATGAACAAGTCTGGCGAGTTGCAAGCAATGAATTGAATCATGATAAAGAAACGAACGGGCATGAAAATGAATAAGATTCTTAGGGTTACATCGGATCCGAAAAAAAAATAACGGTTGCGGGTCTATCCTATCCACCCGACCCGTTTAAAGGCACAAGACGGTACTAATATTTTTCTCGAGCACCTTTACGCTGTCACGAGTTTTCTCTCACCTCCCTTTACCCCCTCTAGTCACAGACTTCTCTATTTAAAAAGAGAGGAAAAAAAAAAAAAAACCCAAAAAAAAAAAAAAAAAAAAAAAAAAAACTTCTTTCTCTGCTAGCGTCTACTTAAGTAGTTTCTTCAATACCCGCATCATCTTTTACCGTTGACTTCAAAAGCATCGACAATCATCCGTCTCTCTTCTTCCTCAACATGGGACACCAAGAGAAGGAACAAGTCATAGAAATGAACAACAACAATTCAGAGATTTGGGTCATCGCCGGAATCTCCTTGAGAGCTCCTCTGAGGCCCATGAAGGCGAAAGCTGTCGAGAAACGCGACGAGGATCGTGTTCCAGCAACACCCGTGAAGAATTCAAGGAAGTCGGTTTGCCCACCGGCTCCAAAGAAGGCAAAGCCTTCTCTCGTGTGTAGACTAGATGAGGTTCAGTTCTTTAGCGTGCCGGAGGATTTGGCGTCGGTGTTTGTTCCGCAAGGGGAGAGAGCAAAGTGAGAGAGGGAGGATGATGATGTATCCTCCTCATCTTTGTAAATATTAATTATGCTGAAAGTAATAAACCTTGGTATTTAGAAGTTGCTCGGTAGCGTAGCATGAGCTTTGATTTGCTCTATTTGGAGTTTTTAAACTTTGTTTAATTAGTATTATATATGATGAAGGTAATTTACTAATATCTGACCTTGCGATGTCTCTTAAATGAAATTGTTATTTATTTTGATTTAATTTCTTCTCATTTATATTTCCATATTAGAATGATGATGATCGATGATGATGAGTAAGCAGTAGTATGAGGATGTGAATCATATGCTTAATTTAGTGCTCTCTTCAAATTAAGTTCCTCTATTGTTATTTTCAGAGAAAATCTTGTTTATGGTGTATGCAATTTATGCAATCTTTGTGTAATTGAGAGAGAGATGTTGTGCGTGCGAAAGCCACCAAACCTATGTGCTTCGAGAAACCAAACCAAACAAACGCCGAGGGAAGACAAAACAAACCAAAAATAACGACACAAACACAAACAACCAATTTTAACGTGGTTCGACAAGTTGTCTACGTCCACGGGGCAAGAAGGGGATGTTGTTTTCACTAATAGAGAAGAAGAATACAAACTGAGATTACAAATCACTTGAACTCACCAATTAATCTCACCAACAAATCTCTAATTCTCTCAAACAAAACCCTAACCAATAGCTCCAGAAAAGTCTTTTTTCTGTGCTCCAAATATCCCTAATTCACTGCTCAATCAAAGCCAAAGAAACCCTAAAATGTGTTGGTATTTATACCCCAAACAGAATCCAAATAGGAACTCAAACTGTGCAAAAAACTCGCTATAAGTTGACTTAACAGGGGCCATAAGTCGACTTGGCGGAGCGAAAAACACCAACTGGAGAACAAATCGTAAGTCGACTTAACAGTCCTGATAAGTCGACTTGCCAGAGCCCAAAACAATAATTCCAAAACAGAACGTAAGTCGACTCGTGCACAAACACAAGTCGACTTACCATAAGTCGACTTATGCGTGTGCATGAGTCGACTTATGACACAAAATCTAGTTTTTTCAGATTTCTCCACAAGAGAGAGTGGTACGAGGATGCATGTGAATCATGCGCTTAATTTAGTGCTTTATCTCCTTCAAAGTTCCTGTCGTGTAGTTTGAGTTAATAAAGTCTTGTTTGAAATGTAGGCTAAATTGCACTTAAATATCATATTGTTTTATCACTTTTATACTTTAATATCCTAAGTTGTAAATATCTGACACATTTGCACTTTCTGTTGATTAGTTGCATATAGGAATATAATTCTTATGAATATCCTCATATGATTAGAACATGAAATTTTTGTAATTGTATTGACCTCATTTATTGTCATACTTACCACTATACATGCCCTTCATCTTTTTATCAATTTCTAAGGAGGGGTGTTTTTGTCATAATCGATTTTTAATGGTGTTTACGATACACTAATGCTAAATAACTTAGATTATTTATGTGCTACTTTATATATGATGAAGGTAAATGACTAATATCTAACCTTGCAATGTCTTTTAAATGAAATCGTTATTTATTTTGATTTAATTTCTTGTTATTTATGTTTCCATATTAGAATGATGATGATGAGAAAGTAGTAGCATGAGTGATACAGGAGATCAAGCATTGGACGAGATAAGAAGAAAAACACCTGTGTCGACTCGGACTTCAGATTAGGAAAGAGTCTTTTTGGTTATTTCCTTTTTGATTATGAAAGAGTTTTTTTGGTTATTTCCTTTTTGATTAGAAAATAGTTCTTTTGGTTATTTTCTTTTAGATTAGGAAAGAGCTCTTTTGGTTATTTCCTTTTAGATTAGGAAAGAGTTCCTTTTTGGTTATTTTCTTTTAGATTCAGATTTTTTTATTAGAGTTAGGATAGGTTTAGTTGGCTATAAATAATATTTCCTTTTGTAAATCAAGCAACTAACTTTTTAATTATTCAATCAAGAGAATTTTTCTCCTTGTTTACGTTCTCAACTTTGAAAAACTTAGAGCTTGTGAATTCAAGCTCGTGAATTACATGCTGTTGTCAGGGCTCGTCGGCATCGGAATGATATCCGATCGGCCTCCCCATTTCTGCGTTGCTTTAATTTAGTGCTTTCTCGATCTCCTTCAAATTTCCTCTCTTGTATTTTTTCAGTTAAGGTCTTGTTTATAGTGTGTGTAATTTAAGAGGGCTTTATCTCCTTCAAAGCTCCTGTCATGTAGTTTTTGAGTTAATAAAGTCTTGTTCTAAATGTAGACTAAATGGCACTTAAATATCCTATTACTTTACCACTTTTATATTTAAATATTCTAAGTTATAAAAAAATTAGTATTTTAATATTCTAAGTTGTAAATAATTGACACGTTAGTACATTCTATTAATTACTTGCATGTGGGAATATAATTCTTATGAATATTCTCATATGATTATCACATTCTTATAATTGTATTGACCCCATTTATTATCATACTTACCACTATATATACCTACCCTCCATCTTTTTGTTAATTTCTAAAGAGGGGTATTTTTGTCGTAATAGGGTTTTTAATGGTAAATAACTTAAGGTATATATGTGCTGCTTTTTATAACTTAAAATATTTAGGTGTAAAGGTGGTGAANTATATATATATATATATATATATATATTCTTAGAAATTGTTTTGTTAGATTGTGCACTGTGATGGTCACTTGCTTGAGGATGTGATCTAACTTAGAGATTTTTTAAATCTGTGTTTAAACTATAACTAGTAAATTGTAATATTGTTATAATAGGTTATGATGCATAACACTGACATATGCGATGTGGTAATGGGTCTCAACCATTGGGAATGAGGATTTCGGGGTGCATGTCATAAGCACACATTGTGATATATGTAGCATTAAGTAATATTTGAATTCTCTAAGACACATCAGCTAGGATATAGAGATTTAATTATTACATGACCCCTTTGACTTGATGAGATTGTTATTTCTGATTTAATGATTTATTATGCTTTGATATGATGATTAAGCCTGTTTAGCAAGCGCTACATAACCTTAAATGTTGGGTTACTAGATTTCATTTAGGAAAATAATTGATACGATCTACTATACTCATTATGATGAGTTAATTTATTATGCATTCCCATAAAGTTATTAAATTCCCGCTGGTAGGTGGTTTTGGAAAATATTTTTTTTTTCCAAATTTATAAAAATATTTTGATGTTTCAAAATAATTTTTATTTATGTTCGTGAGAATTGCAAATTAGGTATAAATAACTAGGTGAATTGTCCTGCTCAAAAGAGTTGTCTAAAATAGATGATACCAAAGGTGACTGAATGTAAGATATTATTTATAAATACTTAATCTCATATTATGAAAGAGCTTTTATGAATAGTTGGTCGAAAAGAGATTGACTATTAAATAAAATTATTAATTTAACTAATAATTGATTCTTGATATGGGGACCTAATTGGTCATACTAATGTAATTAAAATGGGTTTATATGCAATACAAATCCTATTATATCCTCAATTATTATGGATAGATTTTTTGAATAGTTTTATTCTATTTTTAATAGTCATGGATAGAGTTTTAAACAATTATGAATTATTTGAAATTAAAATCTATAAGGCTAGTCCAATCCTATATATAAGTTTCATATGTAGCCTTATGAAGATATAAAAAATCGTATGAAGATAAGATGAAGAATTAAATAGATAAAATTGAGGAACTATATATCTATCAGTATTGCTCCTCTTTGATGACGGGTGGATTTCAGTTGGATGGTTTTTCTCTTGAGGAACCTTTGAATTTTCAAATAGATCTTTGAGAGATGGATTTTTCAGATATATTTTGGAAGATGGATTATGAAAGATCAGAAATTATTCTAAGTATCATTCTAATTTTAATTAATTATTACGATATTCCCTTGCTGCATGTTGTGTTTTACAATGGCACGGACCCCTCACCTACTCTCCTAGTCCAACCCATGTGCAACGAATAACCATCATTATCAGCATGAAAGTTACCCTCATCCATTTTTCATGAGTTTTGTGCCTTCGCCTAATCATAACATGACGCAGTCATCTCATGACATCACAAGGAAGACTATGTCCAGGTACAGCTACTAATAGTTTCCACACGAGTTTCAAAGGATTGATGCATGCATGCCGCGCTCATGCTTGGACTGATTGGCCTACACAGCCCCCACGGCCCCACTGTCTTATGTAAATAATAGGACTCTCTCTTATAAATCATAGTGTGGTATGGTTGCATTGATGTAATTTTTGTTGGAGCAATCAACCGCGAAGCTAATAGAATTGTAGCATGTATGAGAAGAAATTTAGTCTCTTTGTTGGTCTCTGTTTTTTTTTTGCTGCTGCTACAATAACTTTTGGCTACATGCCATTTAAATAGTTTAGCAATCTAATATTACAAGAATTTTAATATGACATGAACTTCTAAAGATAAAGAAACTAATTAAATACTATAGATAAGATATATGAACCAATTCCTAGTAGAAGAAAACTCTTATTGATAGTACTAATGATAACCTAATTAAATTTGGATTAGTTTCAACATTCCCCTTTAATCCAAATTCTGTAAAGTCCTCGATCCCCTCACGTGCTTTAGCTTGACAAATGCTTCAAACTTTAAGGGTTTCGTGAGGATGTCCGCAACATGATCTTCAGACTTGCAATAAAGCTACATGATCTCGTTCTTCTCAATATTTTCTCGTAGAAAGTGGTAACGAGTATGAATATGTTTATTCCTTCCATGAATGACTGGATTCTTCACCAAATCAATTGCGAACTTGTTGTCAACATAAATCTTTGTAGGACCTCAACATGAATATGAATTTGACTAAGCACATTACGCAACCAAATTGCTTGACAAGCACTTGACACAGCTGCTACATACCCCACTTCACAAGTTGAGAGTGCAACAATAGACTGCTTCTTCGATGACCATGGAAATACGGTAGAGCCAAAATTAAAAA